ATATGTAATCTTAGTAGGACAGGGAATAGTAGGTCTTTACCTCCCTTAATCCAAATGCTAGATCTCTTCAGTGCAAGCCAAGGTAATGCTTATTTTTTTGGCACCCACATCACATCCACTGCTCACTCAGGTTGAGTTTATTGATAACTACAACCCCAAGCTTTTCATGTCATATTAAAGCAAAAGCCATTTTGAGCTGTTCTTGTATCTTGTAGAATGCCTGCCATCTTGTGTCATGTAGCTTTTGTCTCAAAGAGAAAAAAGAAAAGCATAGTACTGAATTAATCTCTCCAGGGAAAGATTTAAAGACTAGGATAATAAGAAGAGACAGATGGAATTCTGAGAGAAATATGGCAAATTATAGAGCAAATCTAATTAAAGGGCCATGGGAACTTCTCCCTGGCGCATAAATAAAATATGACAATCAGTGTCTGCTAAGAAACCCTTAGCAAATATCTAGTCTCATTTTTAAATTTATCATTATATAGAAGTGTTATCTTTTAACAAATAGTGGTATGATGCAAAAGAAGCTGAGAGAAGCAAATAGACACAGGCCAGGTGGCTGACCTTTCTCTCTACCCACCCCTCCCTACATACGCTTCAGATGGCATAGGCTTTCCCAGCCATTTCAATACGAGACACATCTGTGACCTCGCCAGCTTGAAGGATACAACAAAAGGTTCTTAGTGAAGGAAAAAGGTGTTCATCTTCACCCCATCGTAATGGGCTCCAAGAAGGACTGGCAACCTGCAGAGTCTGGAGAGGAGAGGTCAGGACTGGCTGCAGACGAGGAAGCTGCTGAGGTGATTAGGAATTCTCAGACAGGGCCTTATTCTTTCCCTTTCAGTTAAAAATGGCAGTGCCTCAAACCCTCTGGGCTTCCTGGACTTTGTGTTTAAATGTATATGCATTTTCAGGAGAATAGTCAAACAATGTAGCTAAGACAAGGTACCTTCAAAGCTGGTAAACCAGCTGGCTTCCCTGCTATGATCCCCTTGCACAGCCTGGCCCTTCAGACAAGAGCCGGTATTCTGAAGGAAGTCCTTACAGAGTGGCTTGGATCTACTACCCCTTAAAAGAAGGAGGAACTGGTGAAATTATTTCCATTAACTTTAAGGTACCCAGGAGGACCACAGAGGTCTTATTCTTTTCAGTTTGGATAGATCTGGGGCAGTCCAAAGGTTGCCAAGGGAGGTAGGAAGACAAGTTTAATTTGCACACTTGAGCTTTACAGTCTGTCTGACTTCATTGGAGTTTACCTCTTTTTAAATTGCAGACTCAGGGCTTAAATACTTCCTTACCTTCAGTGATCTTTCCTGAGCCCTCCTGTTCCTGATAAGCTGCAGGACGGTGCTTTCGTTCCTATGATGTGTTGTCATATTAACACACACACCCAGAGTGATTACCGTGTTCACTTCCCCTGGATGTGCTTCATCTTCATTGAGTTAAAATCAAATTGCTTTCTACTTCAGTAAATCCAATTCAGCCTTCTTACTGACCATAGGTTAAAGTTTTAATTTAAAATTCCCTTTCTTTTAAAAATTAGCAATTCAAATTCAAGGTGGTAAAGCAGCCCACATTTTGAGACTGCTGGTGTTGCAAATGGGCTTTGGCTATCATCTGTCCTGAGTGATGATTCTGTTGAATTATCTCAAGGACAGAATAGTCATTACTTTGAACAGATTAGGTGGAATGATGTAAATGAAAGTGCTTTGTAAATTGTAGGACATTAAAAAAAATAAGTATCATTAGCATTTATAAAGATGCTTTTTCCATTGTTGCCAATGTTACTTATTTTTTTAAAACCACTTTATTGAGGTCTTATTGACATAAAAAAGCTGTGCATACTTAGCCGGGCATGATGGGGGGTGCCTATAATCCCAGCTATTTGGGAGGCCCAGGCTGGAGAATTACTTGAACCTGGGACGGGGAGGTTGCAGTGAGCCGAGATTGCACTATTGCACTCCAGCCTGGGCGACAGAGCAAGACTCTGTCTCAAAGAAAAAGAAAAAAGAAAAGAAAAGCTGTACGTACTTAATGCATACATCTTGATAAGTTTCAGGATAACTGCAACACATTTATGAAAATCACCTGTGAATCCCACTTGTGAGACCAATCATTAAACAGGTCCCTCAACTCCCAAAGTTTCTTCTTTGTTATTACTATGATTAATTGTTTTTGGTAAAAGCATATAACATAAAATCTACCCTAGGCAAATTTTAAGTATACAATGCCGTGTTTGTTAGCTATAGGCATTATGCTGTATAGTACAGCAGACCGTACTTATTAGCTTAAACTTTATATATTATAACATGGGTTTTCCTGTTGAACTCTTGTCTTCCTTCTTGTGGTTATAAACTAGAATAACTTTACAGATCGCTTGCGAACATTTTTCACCTCCAGCAGCCATTCCTGTCCAGGTGTGGGATGTGCAACACAGTGGTCCAAGAGATGATTTTCAGAGTCACAAGGACATGGCGTGGGGTACCATTGTATCACACTCTCCTGCTAAGGCAAAAGTCTCAATTTGCTGCTAGTGCATCTTTAACCTTCTCTAACACTCATTTCCCTTTGTAATAAAGGCAGAGCTCAGCAGACTTCTGTCCCAAAATCTTTGGCCAACAGCAAAACGCTGTTTTATTGTCATTGTCTTTATTTGTATGGTTATCTTCTAATTATGGTGAGTGATTTTCATATCCCAGTGATAATAGTGATACCAAAAAAGAATAAAAGTATCTTTTAAATTGACAAGCACCATCAAGTGGTTTGAGACTGGCTGGTGTTTGGGACATGGCTTTCCAGGGAGCTTGAGAGATGGGCCATGGATCAGATCACTGCCCACTGTGACAGACAACACACAATTTGCCATTTCCCATGGCAGTCTTTGACATATCTGAAGTCAGCGCTCATATGTCTCTTCAGCCTTTCCTTCTTTGGGCCTCACACTTCCAGTTTCTTCACATGTTCCTTATTTGATGTCTTCCCGCAATGGTAACTCGAGTCTATCAGTTTTTCTTTTGAGGGAGCTCCCTGTTCATCATTTTTATAGAAGGAGGCCTTGTTCTGATATCAGAGAGCAGTTCCTCAAGTTGGTTGAGAAGGGGAAGTCAGGGAGCAAAGGAGAGTTAACAGGGATGACTTGGAAGAATTGCAGTGAGGGGGATGCCTGGGAATTGTCAGGAGAACACATAAGTCCTTAGGTGTCTTTATGTTGGTGTACAAAATAGGAGTTATCAAAACTATAAAAACTCTGGAAGATAACCAAGGCAGTACTATTCAGGACATGGGCATGGGCCAAGATTTCATGATGAAGATGCCAAAGCAATTGCAACAAAAGCAAAAATTGACAAATAGGATCTAATTAAACTTAAGAGCTTTTGCACAGCAGAAAAAACTAACAACAGAGTAAACAGGCAATGTATAGAATGGGAGAAAATTTCTTACCCACTATGCATCCAACAAAGGTCTAATATCTAGCATCTATAGGGAACTTAAACACATTTACAAGAAAAAAACTAAACAACCCCATTAAAAAGTGGGCAAAAGACATGAACAGACACTTTTCAAAAGAAGACATACATGCAGACAACAATCATATGAAAAAAGCTCAACATCACTGATCATAAAAGAAGTGCAAATCAAAACCACAATGAGATACCATCTAACACTAGTCAGATGGATATTATTAAAAAGTAAAAATAACAGATGCTGGCGTGGTTGTGGAGGAAAAAAAACCCTTATATGCTGTTGGCAGGAGTGTAAATTAGCTCAGCCATTGTGGAAGACAGTGTGGTGATTCCTCAAAGACCTAGTGATAGAAATACCATTTGACCCCAACAATTCTATTACTGGGTATATATCCAAAGGAATATAAATCTTCCTATTATAAAGACACATGCATGTGTATGTTCATTGCAGCACTATTCACAACAGCAAAGATATGGAGTCCTTGTGCAGCATCCATACTAATCTTCTCTGTATCGTTCCAATTTTAGTATATGTGCTGCCGAATCAATCTAAATGCCCATCAGTGATAGACTGGATAGAGAAAATGTGGTACATATACACCATGGAATACTATGCAGCCATGAAAAAACACGGCAGGGACCTGGATGGAGCTGGAGGCCATTATCCTTAGCAAACTAAGGCAGGAACAGAAAACCAAACACTGCATGTTCTCACTTATTAGTGGGAGCTAAATGGTGAGAACACATGGGCACGTAGAGGGGAATGATGCACAGGCAATAGGACCTATTGAAGAATGAAGAGTTGAAGGAGGAAGAGGACCAGGAAAAATAATTAAATGGGTACTAGGCTTCATACCTGGGTGATGAAATAATTTGTACAACAAACCTCCATGACATAAGTTTACCTGTGTGCCCCAAACTTAAATAAATGTGCCTCTGAACTTAAAAGTTAAAAAAAAACCCGGCTGGGCGCGGTGGCTCACGGCTGTGGTCCCAGCACTTTGGGAGGCCGAGGCGGGTGGATTACAAGGTCAGGAGATCGAGACCATCCTGTGAATGGTGAAACCACATCTCTACTAAAAACACAAAAAATTAGCCGGGCGCGGTGGTGGGTGCCTGTAGTCCCAGCTACTGAGGAGGCTGAGGCAGGAGAATGGCATGAACCCAGGAGGCAGAGCTTGCAGTGAGCCAAGATCGCGCCACTGCATTCCAGCCTAGGTGACTGAGCGAGACTCCGTCTCAAGAAAAAAAAAAAACCCAAAAATAAAATAGGGGTTATAAGCCAAATTTATGCAACAGTGGTACATGTGTAAAGACTGTCAAGATTGGGTTGAAAAGTCTGTGAGAGCGCCTTTTCATCTTGCTTCTCTGAGCCTTAAGGCTCCCATCTCTAAAACTGGTTGAAATGAGGTATTGTTTGGAAAAGGCTTTGGTAAACCAAGAAGTGCTATACAAATGTCAAATACTAGTTTTTTCATTAGTTATATTGTTATTTTATGTCTCTGTTATAACATTGACATTCTGTTCAGTGTTTATCCTGGTTTCTCTTAAGATCATATAAATCTTGTGCCTTTTATGAAAGATTTCCATGGAGAGGAACAACTCTGAGACTTAAACCAATTTTTCAGCTTTTTATAAAAAGATTCAGCACTCTCCAGTAGTCCTTTCATAAAAGAGCCTTGCCTTTCCCAAGTCCATTGTCGTGATTTATTGCTTGCTTGTTGGGATTTCACCATCCAGAGATTTTTATCAAGAAAGCCTATGGCTGTTATAGTATCTAAATCTATGCATGTTAAATTATTTTTATTGTCTTTATAATGTCTAGCAACCTGGCTGGGTATAAAATTCTTGAGTACACCCTGCTCCCCGCCTCCATCCAAACTGTATAGAGAGTGTTACGTGGTGTTGAATATTGCCTTGGAAGCCAGCTTTAATGTTGCCCTTTGTACATGACTTGAGTTTTCTCGGAGGATCAGTCAGGATTCATTCTTTTTTTCTTTGGATTTCAGTGATTTTACCAGGACATCTTGGTGTTGGTCATAATATTTCAATTTGTTTTTTGGGAGCTGTGTGATCTTTTCTTTGTAGGTTTAGTTTGATTTCCTATTTATTTTTTCTTCTCAAGGGACACTAATTTTCCATATTTTTGTTTGCCTTGTGTATATATCATCTTTGCTTTCATTATTTTTCTTTACCTTTTCCTTTGCATTTTGCTATTTTCTCAAGTTGATATTCCATGCCATTGACTCTATTTTCAGCTGTAACTGTACCTCTTGCTGCTTCTGAGATGACTTCATATTATGAATGAACTGAGCAGAACACCCAGGCAGGCATCAGCTGGCCTATGGTAAATCTTCCTAGATTATCATAAAAAAACTAACATTACCACAGCTCAGATTAATAGTTGGCCAATAGCTGCTGTCTTCTCCCCAGCCCGACACATGCTTGAACTCTCCATTCTCCTGAGTAAAGGACCTTACAAAAACACTCCTTAAGAACTGGAGAAGGCTGTATTGGTTTTAGTGTCTGCCATTAATTTTATCCATATTTTACAGTATTTGGCAGCTATTCTCATGGTTTTAAGAAGCAATATAGTGTTCAGAGCATAGTTATGGAGAAAACTGCCTGGGTTTTAATTTAAAATTTTCCAGTTGCTAGCCATGTGAGGTTGGGCAAGCTACTTAACCTCTTGATTCCTCAGTTTTCCTCATTTGTAGAAGGGGGTTAGTAATAGCACTGCTGTGAGATGAAATGAATTATGTTTGTATAATGCTTATAACCCTGCTGGGTACAAAGTAGGTGTCTTTGAAGTGATCATAAGGTGCATTGTCAATACACTTTTCTCCTCCATTTCTCAATCACTAAGACAGTGCATTTATCCCAGACTCTCGCATAAAAAGCCAGTGCCCATTGTGTGCAGAATAGGGTAGGACTGAGGCCAGACTTCCTGGGATCTAGTCCTGGAGCTAGCACTAACCAGCTGTGTTACTTATCTCCTATAAACCTCAGTGATCTTACCTTAAAAATAAGGTGATAATGATCATTACCTCATTCAGTTTTGCAAGAATTAATTGACATAAAATGTGTTAAGAGCTTAGAATATGTCTGGCACTTAGTACGTGCTCAGTGAATTTATGATTGCATAAGATTATGTCAGATTTTTCAAGCTAGTTTTTAATTTTTTTTTCCAATCCCTCTCTGATTCTTTTCTACGTCACATCTGTTATATGTACCATTTTAAAGCTTTGTAATTTTGGGAGGAAGAGTAATGGGAATTGAATAACGTGGGCAGTCACTGGGCTGGTACTATAACAATATTTGATCCATAGCTATTGGGATAAGACCATATTATCAACTGTAGAAAGCAGCAATAGTAAAATATTTCATTTCTATGGCACTTTGGAGTTTACCATGTATTTTCTAATGTCCTGTCTAATTTAAACACAAAGAAAATACGAAGTGCAGAGAAACAACTGATTTTCTTTTTGTCTCGTCACCAGGCTAGGTGTGACCTGGGTGTGCAGCCTCAGCTCGGTGATCTCAGACATCATCAGAGCAGCCCTCTGCAGTACACTGAAGCACTTGTTGGTTACACAGAGTACCTGTATATGTTACGTTAAGCATTGTAGGAAACTGTAAGAAAAGCAGCTTTGTATGGCCTTCATGGCCATGTGTATGTAGTTCTGCCTAAGAGCAAAGTTAAATGAACTTATAGCCAATATAACGACACAGCCTGATGACAGAAAAAAATTCCCTAAATAACCTTGAAACTCACCCAGAAGGAGCGGGGATTTGTGTAGTGTTCCAGATGTCCCTTTGTTTTCACCCCATTCCTACCCCCGCCCAGGCTTACCTTTGCTGTCACTGGGGCTCTTTTGGAGGCTGGGAAGGATTTTAATCCTGTCTGGTCCTTTTCCAAGATTAGTGGTGTAATTGAAATTGTGCCCACAGGCATAATCTCTGAATTGGTGGATTTAAAACAAAGCTGATGAGAGACTTCCAACAGTAAGTGTATAAAAAGAAAATATCTCTTTAAAAGATGTTATTGATAATGAAAAAGCTGACACCATCGATACTCTTACACACCTGGTGGGGGCTTTATACAGATTCAGAGGCATTCGTATGTGTCCTGCTTATTGGTCCGTAGGCTACTCCTGCCCACAAAGTGTCGCACTCTCTTGGTGGACCCGCTAAAATGACACATCTTTTTGCTTTGAGATGATCGCTGGGTCCTGGGGTTTCTCTCCCCGCCTCTTCCCCACCCCTACCCTATTGCACATTTTAGCGTGGCTTAGCTCTGTTGCCTTTGTGGTTGTTAACACTCAATCTCAGAGACAAAGATCTAGGCATGAAGGAGGATCTATTGTGAACTGGTTGGAAGTGGATTTCTGACCCTAAGAAAATAGTTCACCTTATCATCAGATAGAGATGCTATTTGTATATTTCTCTCTCATACATGTACATTTACTCTCAAAATTGCCTGGGCTAGTAGGTCTCTTGAGGTGGCTGAGAGACCCTAGAAGGTACCAGTGTACAACTGGGCCACATCCTTAAAGATGCTGCCATGAGGGACAGCCACAGAGGCCCGTGTGCGCCATTGCCTTCATCACTTGGCGGCTCTCTGGGTGAGGGCTTTCTCTGTCTTTGTCTTCTCTTGTCTTCAAGATCCTTCTTACTTTCTTGTCCAATGTGTGACATCTTTTCCTCCATGAGCTCGATTTTTCTGTTCCAAATAGCTCTAGTCTGCTGGTATATTGTATTTGTTTTTTCTTTCTTTCTTTCTTTGTTTTTTTTTTTGAGACGGAGTCCCCCCAGTTGTTCAGGCTGGATGCAATGGCACAATCTCGGCTCACTGCAACCTCTGCTTCCTGGGTTAAAATGATTCTCCTGCCTCAGCCTCCCAAGTAGCTGGGATTACAGGCATGTGCCTCCACACCCAGCTAATTTTTGTATTTTTAGTAGAGACGGGGTTTCACCATGTTGGTCAGGCTGGTCTCGAACTCCTGTCCTAGTGATCCACCCACCCGCCTCGGCCTCCCAAAGTGCTGGGATTATAGGCGTGGGCCACCGTGCCCAGCGTCTGCTGGTATATTGTACTCCTTTCTCTCTGTTTAGTTAAATTATTTTTACTTTGTCTTGATATATAACAGTGGTATATTAGTCTCAATCCTTTGGAACATTTTTAGGTCCTGATGCTATCATCCGTTATGTTGAAGAGGACAGGTCAAAGGAAAGAGCCCTGTGGGACCTTCCCTGTGACCATTTAGGATTTAGAGCCATTTGGCCTGAAACTGTTTTTCCCCAGCTACGAATCCATCTACCTGTCCCACCGTTCTGTGTCTCCAGCCTCCACTTCCACACGTGGAAATCAGGAGAGGCCGCGTCTTAAATCCTTTTGGTAAAATCCAGACACTTATGACCTCTACCTCTCCCATGGTTTACCATGCCTGACCCACAGTAGAGTTCTTAAGAAATACTATTGTCTTTTCCCCATTTCTTATTTCCTGTTTAAATAAAATAAATTTGATATTTGTCTTTCTAGTGTGTTGACATGTCTCCTATTCTCCCAAATTCCTCAAAGACCAGTGTAGCAATTTACCAATCTCATTTTCACATTCCTTCAGTGCAATAAGTGAATTAAAGCCAATTTATTATCCAGGATTGCTTCATTTATTTCAAAATAAGCTGTGTACCAAGAAAGCTCTATTCCCTCAGCAAGAGCTAGCTCCAGTTTTAAAGCTAATTCTAGAGAAAAACAGACTTATCTAGTTTGTTTTAGCTATTAAAGACCCTTTTAAAAAAGAAATAGGCCTTTGGATGTTGCCAGGGGTTAGAAAGCTAGCCCAGAGACTGAGAAGGTAAACAAAGAGGGAGGGGAAAAACTGATTTTGAGTGTTTAGAGTGTGTGAAATGTCATTTTTCCCTTTAACCTCTCCCTTAAGGAAAAGGAGAGATTGTTAGAGTAGTGTCTGGTCACGGCACACACATTTGGAAGGTTTCTGTAACTCTAGGGTAAAATACAGATCTATTAAAATTTTCATGAGTTTCTTATACTTGTCAAAAGTTGCCTACAGCTTAGATGATATTTTCCTGATAGTTTGTAAACTTCTACTGACTTCTCTGTTTTTCTCTTCACCCACACCTATTTATTTTCTCTTTACTGCGTTTTACTCTCTTAGGAAGATAAAACAGAAAAGCAAAACAAAACAAAACCCCCAAAAACCTAAGTCTGAAGCGGACCATTGAATAATATTACTTTAACTGATGAACAGATTTTCCTCCCACAAAGAAGGAAAAAGGGAGAAATTTCATAGCTCTTCTCTCTTTTTAAAGACTGTGCTGGAAAATTCCAAAATGCTATCGGAATAAAGGAATGACTTCAGGTGCTCAGAACAACTCGGGGAAAGAAACTAAAATTTATGGAGCATTTAACGTCACCTGGCACAAATTCAAAATGCGTTTTTTAAAGAACACACATTTCATGATTTTATTGTGTTCTTACAACAGCCTTTCAGGGTATGGGATGATCCCCATTTTACAGATGAGCAAACTGAGACCTGGACAGGCTAAGTAACTTGTTAAGGATCGCCCAGATGGGAACTGACCGAATTAAAATCCAACACTTTGTGCCAGGTGCGGTGGCT